TGGTCATCATTAGGTGTGTCATCATAGTGGTCTCTGATTGGTGGTCATCATTAGGTGTGTCATCATAGTGGTCTCTGATTGGTGGTCATCATTTGGTGTGTCATCATAGTGGTCTCTGATTGGTGGTCATCATTAGGTGTGTCATCATAGTGGTCTCTGATTGGTGGTCATCATTAGGTGTGTCATCATAGTGGTCTCTGATTGGTGGTCATCACTAGGTGTGTCATCATAGTGGTCTCTGATTGGTGGTCATCATTTGGTGTGTCATCATAGTGGTCTCTGATTGGTGGTCATCATTAGGTGTGTCATCATAGTGGTTTCTGATTGGTGGTCATCATTAGGTGTGTCATCATAGTTGTCTCTGATTGGTGGTCATCATTAGGTGTGTCATCATAGTGGTCTCTGATTGGTGGTCATCATTAGGTGTGTCATCATAGTGGTCTCTGATTGGTGGTCATCATTAGGTGTGTCATCATAGTGGTCTGTGACTTGTGGTCAGACTCGCTCAGGTGGAACAAACTTAAACTTGTGCCTTTTTTCAATGCTGATTTGAATGTCATTGAGAACAGAGAAGGGCCAGAGATTTTTTTTCTCGCAAACATCCTTTCTGAATTTAAAAGTAATCCTCGAAGTAATCATCTAGTTTTTCAAAAGTATCTGTAATCTGATTACAATATTTTTGCTGGTAATGTAACGGATTACAGTTATCGTTTTTTTTGTAATCCCTTACATGTAACGGATTACATGAAATCCTTTACTCCCCAACCCTGCCCTTGACCTATTCCACATGTTGTTGTGTTACAGCCTGAATTCAAAAAATATATTTTTTGTCTCACCCATCTACACACAATACCCCATAATGACAAAGTGAAAACATGTTTAGCAAATGTATTGAAAATGAAATACAGTGGGGGAAAAAAGTATTTAGTCAGCCACCAATTGTGCAAGTTCTCCCACTTAAAAAGATGAGAGAGGCCTGTAATTTTCATCATAGGTACACGTCAACTATGACAGACAAAATGAGGAAAAAAAATCCAGAAAATCACATTGTAGGATTTTTAATGAATTGATTTGCAGATTATGGTGGAAAATAAGTATTTGGTGAATAACAAAAGTTTCTCAATACTTTGTTATATACCCTTTGTTGGCAATGACACAGGTCAAACGTTTTCTGTAAGTCTTCACAAGGTTTTCACACACTGTTGCTGGTATTTTGGCCCATTCCTCCATGCAGATCTCCTCTAGAGCAGTGATGTTTTGGGGCTGTCGCTGGGCAACACGGACTTTCAACTCCCTCCAAAGATTTTCTATGGGGTTGAGATCTGGAGACTGGCTAGGCCACTCCAGGACCTTGAAATGCTTCTTACGAAGCCACTCCTTCATTGCCCGGGCGGTGTGTTTGGGATCATTGTCATGCTGAAAGACCCAGCCACATTTCATCTTCAATGCCCTTGCTGATGGAAGGAGGTTTTCACTCAAAATCTCACGATACATGGCCCCATTCATTCTTTCCTTTACACGGATCAGTCGTCCTGGTCCCTTTGCAGAAAAACAGCCCCAAAGCATGATGTTTCCACCCCCATGCTTCACAGTAGGTATGGTGTTCTTTGGATGCAACTCAGCATTCTTTGTCCTCCAAACACGACGAGTTGAGTTTTTACCAAAAAGTTCTATTTTTGTTTCATCTGACCATATGACATTCTCCCAATCCTCTTCTGGATCATCCAAATGCGTGACTGTTTGAGGTTGTGGACAGGTGTCTTTTATACTGATAACAAGTTCAAACAGGTGCCATTAATACAGGTAACGAGTGGAGGACAGAGGAGCCTCTTAAAGAAGAAGTTACAGGTCTGTGAGAGCCAGAAATCTTGCTTGTTTGTAGGTGACCAAATACTTATTTTCCACCATAATTTGCAAATACATTCATTAAAAATCCTACAATGTGATTTTCTGTATTTTTGTTTCTCAATTTGTCTGTCATAGTTGACGTGTACCTATGATGAAAATTACAGGCCTCTCTCATCTTTTTAAGTGGGAGAACTTGCACAATTGGTGGCTGACTAAATACTTTTTTTCCCCCACTGTATCTCATTTATATAAATATTTACATAAGTATTCACACTTTGTAGAAGTACCTTTGGCAGCAATTACAGCTGTTTCTGGGTAAGTCTCTGCTTTCCACACCTGGATTGTGCAATATTTGCCCATTATTCTTTTCAAAATTCTTCAAGCTGTTAAATTGGTTGTTGATCATTGCTAGACAACCATTTTCTGGTCTTGCATAGATTTTCAAGTAGATTTAAGTTAAAACTGTAACTCGGCCACTCAGGAACATCATCTTCTGTTTTAGGTTATAGTCCTGCTGAAATGTGAATTAATCTCCCAGGGTCTGGTGGAAAGCAGACTGAACCAGGTTTCCTCTAGGATTTTGCCGTTTCTTTTCTATACTGAAAAACTCCCCAGTCCTTAACAATTACAAGCAACCCATAACATGATGCAGCCACCACTATGCTTGAAAATATGGAGAGTGGTACTCCGTAATGTGTTGTATTGGATTTGCCCCAAACATATCACTAATATGTACAGGCTTCCTTCTTTTCACTCTGTCAATTAGGTTAGTATTGTGGAGTAACTACAATGTTGTTGATCCATCCTCAGTTTTCTCCTATCACAGCCATTCAACTCTGTAACTGTTTTAAAGTCACCATTGGCCTCATGGTGAAATCCCTGAGCAGTTTCCTTCATCTCCGGCAATAAAGTGGTTGAATACTTATTGACTTTTTATTAATTTGTAAAAATTTCAGAAAAGTCAAGGAGTGTGAATACTTTCTGATGGCACTGTAACTTCAACCCAGCCTGGTCTCATAGACTAGACGTAACATAGTAAACGTAAATCCAGGACTTTGAAAGTATGATTAGTATGATATGTTACGTTTCGTATGGTTACTTAAGGTGGGTGGTTGGTCGGGGTGGATGGTTGGGCATATAACACGAACATATACTTTTTAGTTACTTTGCAACTACTTAGCATGTTAGCTTACCCTAACCCAGCTAACGTTAGCCACCTAGCTAACATTAGCCACAACAAATAGGAATTTATAACATATACATTTAGAAAATTCGTAACATTTTACCAATTCATAACATGCTCCATGTGTGTGCTCCATCAGTGCTGCCCCCTGGTGCACTATTTTCATTTGCTACAATGCAACGCTTGTGCCGACCTGTATTTGGCTTACTTAATTTCCTCTAATTTAACTCACAAGAACTACATTCAAAATGATTATCTTCAAATCAAGTCTTTATTCAACAACGTTATAATTGTATATAACAAAACTGAGCTCAAACGAACACATTGTTGCATGCAGGACAATACAATAGTTAAAATCAAGGTATTTTTGATTAAAAGTTCATCGTAAGATCTTGTAGAACTCAATCCACAACCACATTCAATTAGAGAATCAAGTCTTTGTCTGTTTAAAGAAATGGCCATATCTCATGATGCACGTATGTATACAGCTTGTATAGACCCACGTTAGTTCATGTTTGAATTATGAAAATCAGTTTTGTTTAAACCCAAAGCCATCCGTTAAAGACATACATTCCCTGTATTCAGTGGTGCGATGTATAAGACTACATGACCCCTCCAGTCCTAATCACAGGCTTTACAGAACACACCAGTATTATAGGATCGCCTAACTAACCCCCCTAAACAAGTCATTTAATAGGGATATCATACAGTACATTAGGAGTTGATATAAATCATATGCAGAACATTCAATAAAATGAATATACAAAAAACAGAGTACAAGGGGACCAGATACAGATTCTAAACTTTGAGAAGGCCACTACAATGAGTGTGGTTCCCTTATAAATCTCTCAAGGGCCCAAGTATTATAGATAACAGAATCAAGTCTCATCAGCTCCTTTAGAAAAAAAAAAAGACTGCAGATTTGAAACTGCAGTAAGTGCAGTCGACTGTGGTATTTTGGACACAGTAATTGCAGAATTATTGCACTTGAACTGCAGTAAAAAAAATATATATATATATATTTTGTACGCAGTTATACTGCAATGTTTTTTCCTAAGGGCTGTTCCAAACCAAGAGAGGATAGTGCAGTTTCACACATTTCATCCTCAAATGAAACAAAGCCCTCAACCACAGTCTATCCCTGTAAGAAGGATCTTAACCAGTCAACAAATGAGCCCTTCCATTCATTTGTGGTATTCTTGGGAGTAATAGCCTGCATATTTTATAAAGAGCTCAGTAAACCGACACACATGCTTTGCTGGCATCTCCTCAATTGCAGCATTATCTGGTAGAATGTCTAACAAAAACCCTGCAAATTACTAACAGATTCTTATGGGGTTGACATTATCATTGTTTCTGGAAAGGGTACATCAATTGAAATATGCAAGACAAGGGAATACCCAAAAAACAACCATGTACAAAAATATGTTTAAAGAAAAGCAAAACTACAATTGACTTGTCTGTAGTACACTGAAGTACACTGTAGTACACTGAAGTACTCCTGTAGTACATCAAATACAATTGACAGAAAGCACAAAATGGCAAATAACTTTCATTTCTAAAAACTAAAAAGAGAACCACATTTTCAAGTATGGTTGGTGAAAAGTTAGGATTCGATGCTGCAGCAGTGAGTTTTGGTAGGTTAAATAGAACAGTCACATCAGCCCAGTGTTCTACAGCCCCTGAAAAGGAAAGTCAACCATCCCATCTCACAAAAAAAAAGAGCACTTCCACACAATACAACTCAAAACATTGAGTGTTAAAAGTAAAAAGAACATCATGGTACTGAAGTAGTGAAGAAAACCGTGGAGATTGGCGAGCAGCAGTCTAGACGTGAGAGCAGGTCACTTCTTAATAAGATAGTTCATGAGACATCTGAAAAATAAAGACAATGTTGATTAAAAACAGGCTCTGCAGAAACCCAAGGATAAAAGTTAGTGTGTGTGTTGCGATATCGTTGGAACTCACAGCTAGAGGGTCTGGTGCCATATTGTCGGATGATCTGGTCATGTGTGAACTTCACGAACGATTCATATTGTTCTGGGAAGGAACCAAAAACATCAAATTATCTTTGGAATTAAAAAGTATTAAACTGAGCTGTCTGACCATTAGATGTCAATCTAGGCCCGTATTCCTAAAGCCTTTAAGAGTAGGAGCACCGATCTAGCATCAGCCCCCCCCCCCCCCGCTATGTAATCTGATTAATGAATGTCTAAAAGGCAAAAACTGATCCTAGATCAGCACTCCTACTGAGATGCTTTATGAATACGGGCTCATATCTGTAAAGAGGAAGTCAGTCAGTCAGTATACCTGCCAGTTTAGTGTTGAGGATTTGCTCGTACTCTTCACGGATGTTCTCGTCATGGTCCTTGAGGATCCGTTCACACAGAGAGCCAACCTGGTGCAGTGTGAAGCAGGGCTGGTCCCTCTTCATAGAAGACCCTGGAGAAACCAGAACATGACGAGGAATGAGCTTTGGCCTGACAACGGCACCGTGCAAAATCTGGGCTGAGTCCCAAAATGGTACCCTATTCCCTTTATTGTGGACTACCTTTGAGCACTACATAGGGAATAGGGCGCCACTTGGATGGTTAAAAATAACCACCTTACTAGGTCAGGATGTTGAAACGTCTAGAATAAACAACACATGCAGAGGCAGGTAATCGTGAGGCATCTTTTAAGAATTTAACTCTGTGGCTTTTATTCCCCACACCAAAAAACGAGACACAGCACACAGTGAGTGTGTTATTCATCCTTACAGTAAGTTTATTTCCCATCAGATGCTGACAGCATCTCCTTCAGCTTGGTGGGAGATAACTGCATGAAAACACACCTGGTTGGGCGCTTGGTGCCATGAAACCAGGGCTTTGGCCTGGGCCATCACGTTGACTGTGGGACTGGCTCTGGTTGAAAGCCCCCTCAAGCTGCCGCCTCCTCTGATAACGGCTGTATTCTTGCCTAAGATTCTGGACAATCTGCTCTGGAGAGGAGAAACAGTAAAAGTCAGCTTAACATGATTGGCGTATCCTGGAATGAGTATTTCCTCACGCAACATCAACCCATGCCTCACACATGTATCTTGGTTGTGTGATAAAACATGGTCACCCGTGCATGCACCTAATCAACCCATCGTATTTTCAATTTGGTAGGTGGATGGCTGTATAAATGACTTCCTAGCAGTGGTGTAAAGTACTTAAGTACAAATACTAGAAAGTACTACCTAAGTAGTGTTTTGGGGTATCTGTACTTCACTATTTATATTTTTGACAACTTTTACTTCACTACATTCCTAAAGAAAATAATGTACTTCATACTCCATAAATTTTCCCCAACAACCAAAAGTACTCATTACATTTTGAATGCAGGACAGGAAAATTGTCCAAGTCATGCACCTATCAAGAGAACATCCCTGGTCATCCCTATTGCCTCTGATCTGGCAGACTCACTAAACACACATGGTTTGTAAATTAAGTCTGAGTGTTGGAGTGTGCCCCTGGCTATCCATAAATAAATAAAAAAACAAGAAAATGGTGCCATCTGGTTTGCTTAATTTAAGGAATATGAAATTATTTACATTTAGTTACTTTTATTTATTTTAGCAATTCCATTTACTTTTGATACTTAAGTATATTTAAATCAAAATATTTTTAGACATTTACTCAAGTAGAATTTTACTAGGTGACTCACTTTTACTTCCTTTTTCATTTTCTATTAAGGTTATTATAGTTCTATTAAGATGTCTTTACTTTTACTAAAGTATGACAATTGGGTACTTTTTCCACCACTGCTTCCAAGCCAGGTGTTATCATCAACTAGAAACGACATAGATAGTAAACTAGGATAAACATGTTACAATGATGGTTGGGTTCATTCTGGCCAACTGGTGAGTTGAGACTAGTGGGTAACGTTAGCTAACTACATATTATATTTGTATGCCTAGAACATCATAATGCTCTTGTCTTGCTTCAATGTATTTATTTATTTATTTTTCCCTTTATTCAACTAGGCAAGTCAGTTAAGAACAAATTCTTATTTACAATGACGGCCTACACCGGCCAAACCCGGACGACGCTGGGCCAATTGTGCGCCGCCCTATGGGACTCCCAATCACGGCCGGTTGTGATACAGCCTGGAATCGAACCAGGGGGTCTGTAGTGACGCCTCAAGCACTGAGATGCAGTGCCTTAGACCGCTGCGCCACTCGGGAGCCCTATGCCTACTCGCTACAGCCTGTAAATCAGGCGAATTATTATTAGATTGATAAATTACATAGATAGACAGCTGAATGATACGGTATGATCCCCGGCCTCTTCCACTAACTACTTTCAACTATTGACGCTGTCTACAAATGGCCATCCAGCTCAATTCAGACAACCGACTAACCTGGGGTGAGCCTGTGTTCTCCTCCACAAGTTGATTGGGGCGACATCGAACTGTCACCTGTAGCAGACTGCTGGTTGCATCGCTTTGGAGAAAGGGCGACCGGAGTCCCTGGCAGAGGGTTGCACTTCCGCCGTTTTGGAGATTGAGGGCTGTGAAGGGCCTCAAACTCCATTGAACGCTTCAAAGTAGCTCCGCACGCCATTGTAGCTAACTTAGTTCAGAAAACAATGTTTTTTTGGTCGGCCAAAATGTAGGATAGCTACTAATATTAACGAGTAAATGAAAATTGGCTATCAATTTGTCCGTCTTGCGCTTTCTTATTTTCTAATTTCTTGTCGGTGTCTGGGAAATCACTTGCTCGCTGAACAGGCTTCGGCTAAATAATAACGTACAAGTGGCGTCTTCTTTGATCGAGTTTTAAGGCAGATGTCACACCTTTCCTTGCCTTTACCGCCACCTACTGGACGGAGTTGAGAAGGAACGATTGAGGGTGACGTTTGTTTGCTTCCTTTTTAGCTAACGCAGCTAGCTAGCTGACCGATCTAAGTAATATCTTTACGTTATCAAACTAAACGTATTTTATTTTAACAACCAAAATCAGCGTAGAAAACTTGAATCAAAATGTGTAAAAGCTTAGTTCAACATTAGCTAGCGAATAATAGGTGAGAATAGCTAGCTAGTTTAGCTGCCCGCTCCTAGTGTTCTACCAAAGCCACGTAGCTAGCTAGCTAGCTAATGTATCTAATAAAAATGTGATAACTATGCCATACAATTAGTAATTTAATAGGCTATATATGAGCAATGCCTGCATTAGCTAACGTTACCCAAAGATTATGGATATACTGTCAAGATGCATGTCTCTCTGGCCTGAAAATGTGAGTCGTTGTCCACAAAGCGGTCTAGCTCCCGCCTATCCTGTCTTTGGATTGGTGGATACATCTCATTATTGTAAAACATTTGGAATATTCGATGAGGGTTGTTGATGTCAACAGAGAGATGCTATGCTACTAGCCTCATTTCATGAATATGCATAGCCATCTCGAGACAACTCTGATATAAAGTGTTTCCGGGATGTCACGTGTCCTACTTATATCAGTACACTAGTAACAACTTAGGCATTACAAAACGTCTATTTGATCATCAAATAAACCACAGCTGGCCCTTAAATGTACACAGAGAGCTAACATTAATAATATGCATGTCAATCTCTCATGGCTCAAAGTGGAGGAGAGATTGACTTCATCACTACTTGTTTTTGTAAGAAGTGTTGACAAGCTGAATGCACCAAACCGTCTATTTAAACTACTAGCACACGGCTCGGACACATTATTATTTATTTATTTTACATTTTAGTCATTTAGCAGACGCGCTTATCCAGAGCGACTTACAGTTAGTGAGTGCATACATTTTTTTCATACTGGTCCATTTCATACATGTACACCCCATGCATACCCCAAAAGACATGCCACCAGAGGTCTCTTCACAATCCCCAAGTCCAGAACAGACTATGGGAGGCGCACAGTACTACATAGAGTCATGACTACATGGAACTCTATTCCACATCAGGTAACTGATGCAAGCAGTAGAATAAGATTTTAAAAAACACAGATACACCTTATGAAAGAGCGGGTACTGTGAAGAGACACACACACCGGTACAGACACACACATACGCACACAAACGCTAGCACACGCACCCTACACACACGTACATTGTAATATTGTTGTATGGTGGTATTATACATGTTGTATTGTAGATATGTAGTGGTGTAATAATGTTATAAGATGTACTGTTTTATCTTTTGTTTTATATGTAATGTAAGTGCCTTAATGTGTTTGGACCCCAGGAAGAGTAGCTGCTGTTGGCAGCAGCTAATGGGGATCCCTAATAAGTACAAATACAAATACTTAGCAAATAAGCCATACATTTTTTGGTTGACCAAATTCGACACTCTCATTGACCTCCCCATTTAAAAACTCCTTGCTTGGTGTGCGAAACAACGAAAAAACGCCACCTGCTGGAGGGAGACAGATTTTCCGCCGAGTTGGGCCTCTCTTCCTCTTCCTCTCTGCGTTACCTCATTAGTCTGGGTCGTCACTCTTTCGTCACTAGTTACCGCAGCCACAAAGTCATAATTAATCGCTAAACCCTGCGTATTTCTCAAATGTATCTTCTTAACCACACTACTAACCTTATGCCTAATCTTAAATTTAAAAAAAAAGTTTTCATGAATTTTTACCATAGCCAACTTTGCCTTTATGGCTGTGATAACTAGTGACAAACAACCATCGGTCTGGAAATCATTGGTCTGGGTCGCATAGCTAAAGTCAATAGACTGCATTAACGTTAGTTCATCATGAAATGATTGACTAGGTATTATTAACTTTAGCTACTCATTGTTGCACTTTCCAGGTTTAAAGTAGGCTAGTGTTTGCAGAGGTTGACTGATGTTCAACACAGCAAAACACAAAAAGCACAACATCAGTACAGAACAAAGCAATGCCATGTGTCATAACCGAGGGTCACTCTCAATTGGTTCAGAGCCATAGGCTAGTAGCTTTAACATAAGTCTGAACTGGTTAGTTAGTCAGTGATGCTTTTGTATCCAAGCATTTTTATTACATTTTAAATCTCTTACCAGGTGACAAAGTAAAGTCAGTGTTGTGTTCAGTAATATGGTGTCGTAACTCAGTTGGGTATTGAATACTGTTGCTTTAAGAATGTATCAGGCACGTTGTGCGTGAACTGAGTGAGTTTTGTACGAGTTGTTAACATTTTCATCTGAAGTAGACGTTCAGTTTATTTGCACAATAAGCCTCCGTGCATTTGTAACATTTGGCGACAAGGATGGCCGAGTTTAGCTGACCTCCACCATCTCCATTTCTCCCGGTCCCTGGAGATCCACCTGTTCCATGGAATCGCTGCTTTCAATCCTTTCAGCTGTACATGGTAGCTATCAATCTGATTGGAGCTGCCGACGCACGAAAACAGGTGATTCTACTCCACCGTCTCGGCGCTGAGGGACAACGTGTCTTCTCCACAGACAGTGGATAACAAGTTTACATTGGCAGTCCAAGCTCTCAAGGAACACTACAGTGGCTCACGCAGTGTGATCATGCATCGTTTTCTCTTCAGACAACGAGCTCAACTGCCGGGTGAGTCCGTAGCACAGTTTGCCTCCTTGAGAGAGCTAGTGGGACCATGCAGATTCGGACCACTCGAAAACGAATTTGTACGTGATCAGTTAATTGAAAAAACATCATGTGCTCCACTGAGGGAGAAATTGTTGTTAGAGACTGATGATCACACACTGGAGAAAGCACTTAATATTGGAAAATAAAAATGGAAGTTGCTCTTGCTGACCTACATAAACTTCAGAGCGCATCTCAGAGGGCGGGGCTTCACACACTGGCTAAGGCACCAGTGCAAAATGTGCCGGAAACCACTGGGGGGCGACGTTCAAATTGTGGCTCCAGTGGGCATTCTACAAGAGTATCTACATGTCCAGCAAAGGGGCAACGCTGCAAGAACTGCAACAAATACAATCATTTTGCCCATTGTTGTCGTTCAGCAGCGGCAGGACAGCATGGAGCAGATGCAGGTCGAAGTTCACCAGTCCCCATTAACTCATGATGACTCAGTTGTGTTCAAGCAATGTGACTGCTACATTGAGGGTGTTAAAACCTCACTGGTGATTGACACTGGAGCAAAAGTGTCACTTTTGAACATAGCCACTTATGACTTATTCTTGTCATGTGCCACTGCAGAGACCAGCAGTATCCCTCTACAGCTACAACACCACACACCGATCTCAGTCATTGGGACTGTCTCACTGCCAGTCTGTTACAACACCACACCGATCTCAGTCATTGGGACTGTCTCACTGCTAGTCTGTTACAACACCACACCGATCTCAGTCATTGGGACTGTCTCACTGCCAGTCTGTTACAACATCAAAACCACACCGGCCACCCAGTTCTACGTTGCAACAGATGGCGCTAACATCCTTCGGACTGGACTTATTTCATGCCCTAGGGTTCAAGCTGTCAGATTCAACTGGTGCACATGTGCAGCACTTGCCTACACCAGTGCCTATGGAGTACTCACAACTGTTTGAGGGGCTGGGTCACCTCAGAGGTTTCGTCCATCGGCCTACAGTCGACAAAGAGGTCAAGCTAGTAATCCAGCCATTGCGGAGGGTTCCACTGACCCTTCGGGAGCCCATTGACAAGGGACTTGACAACCTCCTGGAGGATGACATCATCGAGCCCATTGAAAAATGGCAAACTTCTGATCTGCATGGACCTCAGGGCCGTGAACATAGCGATTATTCCCGACAAGTACCCGCTACCAACCGCTGAGGAGCTCACAACCCAATCCACGGTATTCAGCAAACTAGACCTGAGGCAGGGATACCTCCAGGTTCCCCTGGCACATGAGAGTCGAGATCTCACTGCGTTCATAACACACAGGGGGCTGTTGAGGTACAAACACATGCCATTCGGACTCAGCTCCGCGCCCAGCTGTTTCCAGAATATTATGACTCTTCTCCTGGCAGGCATCTCTGGAGTGTCAATCTATCTGGATGACATTGTGGTGCACAGTGCATCACAGAGAGACCACGATTCTCATTTGCAGCAGGTGTTTTCGCCAGCTCTTCGAGAACGGGGCCAGACTCAACACTGAAAAGTGTGTGTTCGGGGTGTCAAGACGTTTAGTTCCTTAGATACAGGCTCTCCAGCCAGGGCATCACCCCCATCCTGTCCCATGTGGCTGCCATTCTCACCTTGCCTGAGCCTCAGTCCGCAGCACAGCTGGCGTCATTCCTCGTCATGGCAACATACTACTTACGGTCTCTTCTAAACCATACTGAGACAACCGCTCCTCTTCGACGGCTTCTGAAAAAAGAAGCACCATGGACTATGCTGTACAGGAGCTCAAGGTGCAGCTCACTTCGACACATCAGCACAACCGATTGTCACCTGTGATGCCTCGGCACTCGCCCTTGGAGCTGTTTTGTCTCAACTGCATGGAGTCGTGGAACGGCCAGTGACTTTTTGCCTCATGGGCCTTGTCTCCGACTGAACAAAAGTACTCTGTGGGAGAGCAGGAGGCCCTGGCTTGCATGTGGACGTGCAAGCGCTTGTACTTGTACGGAAGACCATTCAAATTCCGCACAGACCATCGTGCCCTCACAGCACTGCTGGCCACAAGCCTCTAACGGCTTTTCAGATGGGCAGACCGTCTGAACCAACGCTGTGGCTGACCTGCTGTCCAGGGCGATCTCACCTGCTCCAATGGTGTGCATGGCAACAGAGGGGGACGAAACAGAGGGGGGCGACGACAACTAGGTCCACATGCTACATGGCCCACTGGAAGCTACAGTCACAATGCAGGAACTCAGACAGGCATCACAGGATGACAAGCCGCTCACAAGGCTTCGCACCTACATCAGGGAAGGATGGCCTGCTATGGTGGACGGAGACCTACTGCCATTCTACAGGGTGAGAGATGAGCTCTCATGCTGGGCGGAAGTGTGCATCGCCAGAGGACATCGGACTCTGATTCCAGAGGTCCTGAAAGCGCGAGTGCTTCACGTGGCATATGAGGGGCACCTTGGCATCGTTAAGGTGAAGCAACGATGCAGGGACATGGTCTGGTGGCAAAATATTGACGGAGACATTAAGTCCCTTGTGAAGGACTGCACAGCATGCCTAATGAGTGGGAAATCGGGCAGACCCACTCCTGCACCCCAGACACCAGCGGAATGGCAAAAGGCGCCCTGGGACCACCTGCAGGTGGATATCTGTGGAGAGTTGCACGGGGCCCCAGCACATGCAAGATACCTACTGGTCATTCATGACTTGCATTCGAAATGGGCAGAAGCCGTGGTCCTCTACCACTTCACAGATGATCGTCCAAACACTGGATAAGATGTTCTGGCAGTGGGGGTTGCCTAGCACCATTACGACAGACAACGGCCCCCAGCTTGTCTAGAATGATCTGTCTGCGTACCTTGAAAAGCAATCCGTCAAGCACATCCGGACGGCTGTGTACCACCCTCAAGCAAACGGGGGGGGGGGGGGGGGGGGGGGTGGAACGCTTGAACGGGACCCTGAAGGAAGGAATATGGGCCTTCTTGGCTGAGGGACTACCTTTTGATGTGTCTCTGTGCCTTACACTAGTCCACATCAGGGCTACCAAGCACTCCACAACTGGGGTGTCTCCTGCCTCCCTGATGATTGGCAGTGAACTAAAACTCCCATTGGACTGCCTCTGCCCAAAACAAAAGAACAAGCCTGCTGCAGCAAGGCAGGCCTATGTTGGAGCGGCACAGCAACGGATGAAACAACGTGATGACACGTCTCACAGAGTGAAACAACCAAGCCTGAAGGCCCAGGACTGGGTGCGGATCAAGACGGACAACCGTCGGATCATACTCTCCTCATTTTAGTCCATTTTAGAATGAAGCAGCAGTCAGAGCAGTAGAATGAAGCAGCAGTCAGAGCAGTAGAATGAAGCAGCAGTCAAGAGCAGTAGAATGAAGCAGCAGTCAGTGCAGCAGAATGAAGCAGCAGTCAGAGCAGTAGAATGAAGCAGCAGTCAGTGCAGTAGAATGAAGCAGCAGCCTTGTTGTATTGTAAGTCTGCAGACCCTCTTGGTTGCCCTGACATTGTTACTAACCTGGTCCCAGATCGGTTTGTGCTCTTGCCTACTCCATTGTTTGGCATTAGTTGACAAGGGAACAGACGGACACCCAGGCTATATTGTTATACTGCTTGTTGTTCTATGAAATAATGGAATAATGCACATACCAAGCTTTGGCGCGTAATAGAGCATCTAATCTCAAAGTTGGCGGAACTATTTTGCCGTAAAGTCGTATTCTACCACAGCAATACTATTTTGTTTCAACTGTTTTTGTTGCTGTCTGTACCAGAGTGCATTATGTAATATTTCACCAATTGAATTGTTATTTCTTGAGGACTATTATCAATTTCTGTGGAAACAGTGCTTTCTGTGCACCCCCTTCTTGGGCCTTTTTATACACAGCAATCGTGATCAGGGAAAGTATGAACAATGAGCTGGAAAACTATGCACAGCACAGACAGGATGAAAATAGTTCGATTTTCTTTGTAGTTGGAAAAAATGGAGCAAAAACAAAAAACAGATTTAGGAATTTTGCAAATGTATAAAACAATTAATATCACATTTACATAAGTATTCAGACCATTTACTCAGTACTTTGTTGAAGCACCTTTGGCAGCGATTACAGCCTCGAGTCTTCTTGGGTATGACGCTACAAGCTTGGGCACACCTGTATTTGGAGAGTTTCTCCCATTCTCTGCAGATCCTCGCGAGCTCTGTCAGGTTGGATGGGGAGCGTCGCTACACAGCTATTTTCAGGTCTCTCCAGAGATATTAGATCGGGTTCAAGTCCATGCTCTGGCTGGGCCACTCAAGAACATTCAGAGACTGGTCCCGAAGCCACGCCTGCGTTGTCTTGGCTGTGTGCTTAGGGTCGTTGTCCTGTTGGAAGGTGAACCTTCGCCCCAGTCTGAGGTCCTGAGGGCTCTGTAGCAGGTTTTCATCAAGGATCTCTGTACTTTGCTCCGTTCATCTTTCCCTCGATCCTGACTAGTCTCCCAGTCCCTGCTGCTGAAAAACATCCCCACAGCATGATGCTGCCACCACCATACTTCACTGTAGGGATGGTGCCAGGTTTCCTCTAGATGTGACGTTTGGCATTCAGACCATAGTTCAATCTTGGTTTCATCAGACCAGAGAATCTTGTTTCTCATGGTTTGAAAGTATTTAGGTGCCTTTTGGCAAACTCCAAGCGGGCTGTCATGTGCCTTTTACTGAGGAATGGCTTCCGTCTGGCCACTCTACCATAAAGGCTTCATTGGTGGAGCGCTCCAGAGATGGTTGTCCTTCTGGAAGGTTCTCCCATCTCCACAGAGGCACTTTGGATTTCTGTCAGAGTTACCATCGGGTTCTTGGTCTCCTCCCTGACCAAGGTCCTTCTCCCCCGATTGCTCAGTTTGGCCGAGCGGCCAGCTCTAGGAAGAGTCTTGGTGGTTCCAAACGTCTACCATTTAAGGATGATGGAGGCCACTGTGTTCTTGGGGACCTTCAATGCTGCAGACATTTTCTGGTACCCTTCCCCAGATCTGTGCCTCGACACAATCCTGTCTCTGAGCTCTACGGACAATTCCTTCGACCTCATGGCTTTGTTTTTGCTCTGACATGCATTGTCAACTGTGGGACCTTGTATAGACAGTTGTGTGCCTTTCCAAATCATGTCCAATCAATTGAATTTACCACAGGTGGACTCCAATCAAGTTGTAGAAACATCTTAAGGATGATCAATGGAAACAGGATGCACCTCTTCTCAATTTCGAGTCTCATAGCAAAGGGTCTGAATACTTATGTAAATAAGGTATTTCCGTTTTTTAATTTGTAATACATTTACAAAAAAATCTGTTTTTGCTTTGTACTTATGGGGTATTGGGTTTAGATTGATGAGGGAAAAACAGATTTATTCCATTTTAGAATAAGGCTGTAACACAACAAAATGTGGGAAAAAAGTCAAGGGGTCTGAATACTTTCCCGAATGCACTGTAAATGTTTGTTGTTTTGGTTACTTTGCTGTTGTGCCAACTGTTCAGCTCAGTTCAAAGTGTATGGTTCATACCAAATTCAAACCCTATTTTCTCATTTTATCCATCCCTTCAGTGTTAAAGATGAAAAGACATTCCTTCCAAATCATGTGTGTATGGTATTAGCGTTCTAGAAGTATTTTGTCTAGTGATATTACAGAATCAAATATATTGCTAGGTACAGATATCCTCTGCTTTTAGTTGGGGTCTCAGTAAGACTATGGTTGCACATCGTATTGAATTCTAAACATCACCACATGCAGAAATGCAAGCAGACTTAGTGAAACAATGTCTGATAGAATGCCACCCAAACTAGATAGCTACCATTCATTTGTACGCATTTATTACTCAAGATACAGTCGCATATACAATAGAGTATTACTGATATTTAGAAGGAAGACTAGCTACGCCTCTTGAGTTGCTGTTCAAAGGAAACAAAGATGATAGAATACAAGCCATCATAAGAACCGTTGAGTATGAAGCACTAACACAGAGAGAAGGATCAAGGTCATGTTCCTATGTCATAAAACATACAGCAGGCTATGTAACAAACCATAGCCAACTAAATCAAACTTAGAAACCTTCAGTTGACAGTTGAGGCTACCGAAATGATTCTAGAATTCCTGGAAGGCATGAAAATTAGTGCTAGCCGAATGTATTCAATCAAAACAGGACTGTAACATGGGCCTGTATCGCTGAACAAATCTTAAAAAACAGCAGTAGAAAATGAACTGGTACCAGCGCCTAGAGGCTCTTATACAGGCCAGTGTCTAATGTACCCGACTAGACAGTCAAGGTAAGGATTTTAGTGACAAGGGCCAGGATTCAATCTGATCAGCCCTTTAAAAAGCAATGTTACCTCGTTCGCCGAGACCGCATTCATGGTAAACGCTGCATATGTCGGCTCAACCGGAAATTGCCTTTAAAATGTTGTGTGTTATTACACAAACCTACTGCTGATGGGATTGAATCCCAGCCTTGATCTTGGCCTGTACAGTCCTTCTAGCCCTGGGTCTTCTGAACGACAACACTTTTACATAGGATATAATGACTAGAAACAGAGAGGGTGTAAACGGCAGGACATTGCCGGGACTGATGGATTTAAAACAGAAGGATACCATGTTTCTCTTTCGTCAAACTAAGGAAGATCATTTTCACAAACAAACCAACCATTGACTGTTCCATGAACATTCAATTATCCAGCAAGATAACTACGGTCAAAAAGATTAAACAAACATGTTTTTTTAATGTCCCCCTGACTTGCGTCCAGTCCAGGACCTGGAGCGAGAGCGGGACCGTGAGAGGGAATGGGAACGTGAGCGGGACAGGGAACGCATACGGGACGACGCCTCGTCCTGAGGCTCATAGCCACCGGGGGCTGGGTGGAAGTCGCCATCTCGTGGGCTCAGGGACTTCGAGTGGGAACGAGACTTTCCTCTGGCCTCCCTCTGGGCCCTGGATCTGGAAGGGGGTTGTCTGTGGTCGCGTGGAGGGGGTCTGTGCCTGTGTGAAGAACAAACCATTGTATTATTAGAATCACACTTACACTGATTAAGACCGCAAAAGTGCCAGAAGACCAAAGCAAACTAATGATTGGTAAGTTCATTGAAAGTGCCCAGAACTTGGCTTTGTGTGCGTCCCAAATGGATATCCATATTCCTTATATAGTGCACTGGGCTTTGGTCAAAAGTAGTGGACTATATAGGGAATAGGGGTGCCATTTGGGATGCAATCATTGTCAGTGGTTCGGCTGTGAAGGACTCACCTGTCGTTTTCCGGGCTCCTGCTCCTTCCTCTCCCTCCGTACATCCTTCCACGGGAGCTGGGTAACAAAACAACATTGTCAAGCAGAACGTACTCAACCGAACTGACATTTTCTATAAGCCCCCCTCCCCCCAAAATGGAGTTATTTGAAGCATGCTAGTTTGAGAACACTGAAGGCCCTTACTCTCGGGGACTCTCAGAGCGTCTGGGCCGGCGCTCGTAGGATGGGCTGCGTGACCTGCGTCTTTGGTAGCTACGGCTGCGAGAGCGCCTACGACGGCTGTCCCGATCATAATCCCGATCATCATGGCGCGAAGAGCTGCGCGAAGATCCCCCCTCCTTCCCTTGCATCTGATTAGGTGCTGTGATGTAAAATAATATATATATATATATATAATAATCAAAAAAGGTTCTGGGTGGAGAGAAAAACCCAACTAGCAAATATACAGTACATAGTGCTTTAGCTCTCCTTGAAAGTATTGCACAGTTGCACCACGTGAGATAGAAAATACATGTATTTGAACTTTGAACAGCTGAAAGTAACATCAGTAAATTGTGCTCGGTATGGTACATAGTTTTACTTCAGGAAACACAATAAATTGGGGAACTGCCTTACTCTTTCGATCGCCCTGCGCGAACTGGATTTCAATCTGTCGGCCACACACCCACTTCCTGTCCAGGTTGTGAAGAGCATCTTCTGCGTCGCGCACATCTTCAAACTTGCTGAGCTGTTAAGGTTCTTACCTTGCGGTCTTATGTGGTTACATTCTTTTCAGCACAACTGTTTTAATACAATGCATCTTCTGACACTGAATCAAAGTGGAAGCCATATTGGCTGAAAGTATAAAGCTAAACGTAGGTTCTGGAACACAATTGTTAAGTGCATGTTGGGTTCTTCTGAAGATTAAAGATCAGGCAAACATGTTTCAATAATGTGTCGCTAATTTTATGGCTTTTACCAAGTAATCAATACTGCTACAGTTTCAAATATTATCGAATGAAAATATATTGATGAGTACAATAAATAATTTCTTAGTTCAATTAAGAATCAAATTTTCACATATTGGCTAAGTATTGATTGCTTTTCCTGTAATATTTGTCGATTCATCTTTTGGGGAGGATACAAAAGAATTCAGGTTTGTTACCTTAAACATGCTCGACTTTGACTTACATCTTGATCTTTAAGCTCTTTAACCGCCTCCCAGAAGAACTTGGTTTCCTGCTTCTCTTTGCCCTTTAAACCTCTTTTCTTTGCCTCTTTTCTTTGATGACATATCCAAGCCTCGACTCAGTCCCTCTTTTTCCTCTTTGTCTCTTCAAGCTTTAAATTCTCTTTCTCTTTCAACCTTTCCCTCTCTCTGTTTCTTGTCATCCTGGCGGTCTTCTGCTGCTTGTTTTAGATCCTACTCTACACCGGACATTCCACAACAACTGGATGCCTTTACATTTTCTGGGGCAACAGAGAAATGTAAGTTAGATATTAAAAAAAGCACTTCAGCGTGTGTACAATACAGAAAACAGTCACAGCAATCAATTATACATCCAAAACTCAAATGCTGAAGACACTGTCTGGAGAGAAAGCATGTTAAATTTACACAACATTCAAAAAAAAAAAAAAAAAAAAACAGCATTGAGAAACACAGATTTCACAACTCTCACAGTAGAAGGGAAAGGATATTGAATATATGCAAATCCTCTGGGTCGGCGTGAATAGAAGTCAAGTGGGATGTAGACATCTACTACTGGCCCATAACGACCAAACTCACGGCGCAAATCCTCAGGCCTGAACACCGTAAAGGATACAAATTTCACTTCAACTGACCAGGAGGAAAAGCCTAAAGTACCAGAATAAAAAGTGGCACCACCAAGGGAGCCACGGACAGAACGCTGAGACCAGTGGCTTCTGTTGGGCAATATGAAGATACCACTTCTTTGCATTAAAAACGGACACAACTGAAACTTTTTGAAGTTCATGCACACTCTGAAATGTATCTTTAGTTCCAAGAATGGTTAATTGCAAAATCACCTGTTTTAGTAGCCCAAAGGCCAGCAGATGGCGATATTGAGTAGTTTCATTTTACCGTCCAAAGGGAATGTATGCAGCCGGCTATACACTCGTATCCCCCATGGACCGGTTCATACATAAAACATTCTCAATTAAGGCTGCAAAGGCATCAATTTCCTATTTAAGTCTTAAGAGCCTAAGCCGTTGGGGAGGGGGAATTGTTGTTGTTGGGTTTTTTTTGTTGGGGGGGGGGGGGGGGGGGGGGGGGGGGGCTGTTTTAAGGTCATACCATGGATCATTTTAGCTATTTGATTTTGAATTTTAAAACCCCTTTAGGTATAAAAAAAATATTTTTGGGGGGGGATACAATAATGAATTTGGCCTTTACTACTATAGCCCATAGATACACATTGAAAAACACATTCATAAATGGCAAACAAAAAAAAGTCAAAAAATGTAACATACGGTTTTAAAGTGTCTTTGCTGTATCTAGGAGATATAAGAAAGATCAGGAAATATATTTTTTTCTTCCCATATTTAACCCCTTTTTTGGGTTGGCACAACACTACCTCCATACTTCCATGCATTTTAAAAACCAGTACTGGTTACCTTCAGACGAGTCCCGTGACACTTGTGGGGGGTCGTAGAGCAAAACGGATCGTGAGAATCTCCCCTTTCCACAGTGGGGTCACATTAGTTTGTAGCCCCAACGGTTCAGACGCTGCCATCAGACGTTGACACACAAACTGTACCGGCTTCAGACCTGTGACACCTGTGGAGGTCGTAGAGCCAAACCATTCAGACGTTTTTTGCGAGAAGACCAATTTCCCGGGATGTCTCATGGTCTGACAAACGTCGCTGTAGCTCGACAAGCTACCACCGCAGATGCGGAAGGCCACCATAGGCAGATTGAGATGCAGCCCGTGCAAAAAAAAACACATCTAGCTTAAATTGACTGATTTTTATGGGGCTGTTTTTTTATTATGTTACTTAAATTGATGCACCAGTGCATCAAGTCTATTTTCTCCCCTGGTCTGATAGTTTCAAAATAAAAGTTGTCCTTACTGAACAAGCAGTCTTTAATGACGTATTGGATTTGCTAGCATGAACTTGTTTACAGAACAATATTCACAGTTTTAATAAGAAAGATTAAACATTTACGAAGTTAAATTATGTTTAAACGAAATGTAGAGTATAATACATAGATTTTTACCGCAAATTAATTAATGTAATGATTGTTTTGTTTACAGGTTTATTAAATGATATGTTCATAAACCTGTGTAATCTGAAAAGTGTAATTAAGTCAATAAATAATGAACATCAATAAAACAAATTATATCTGAACGCTGCCATTAATAACCCTATTTCTCTCTCTCTATGCCTGAGGAAACCCTGGCCTGATGATTCCTGGTTGTGCATGTCACCAAACCACCTGGTTGTTCTGTCTATCCCATTCTGCGGACTACCTGGCGTGCCCTGGCCTGATGATTCCTGGTTGTGCATGTCCCCAAACCACCTGGTTGTGGTGTTTCCTCAGGCATAGTGAGAGAGTGTTTGCACCCTCTATTTATTATGGGTTTTAGGCTGGATATCTGTAAAACACTGACCATTTCTGATGTAAAAAGGGCTCTACAAAATAAAATGTGATTGATTTTAGTGTGCCTTCTATTTCCTGATACATAATCAGATAAGATTGTCATACATTTGTTAATCAAATAAATCCTTTCAAATATGTGAACATTGACAATAAGCTGGACTGTGCACCATTTGAGGAGCCAGTATACATTTTAGTCATTTAGCAGACGCTCTTATCCAGAGCGACTTACAGTTAGTGAATACATATATATTTTTTTTTTTCATACTGGTCCCCCGTGGGAAATGAACCCACAACCCTGGCGTTGCAAACGCCATGCTCTATCAACTGAGTTATATCAACCTGCCGGCCATTCCCTCCCCTACCCTGGACAACGCTAGGCCAATTGTGCGCTGCCCATGAGTCTCCCGGTCGCGGCCGGCTGCGACAGAGCCTGGATTCGAACCAGGATCTCTAGTGGCACAGCTAGGACTGCGATGCAGTGCCTTAGACCACTGCGCCACTCAGGAGACTACATATAGTATACTGGTCTTGGTGAGGAAATTGTGATAGTGTGATGATGACGATGACTGGGTGATATGGTATATGATATTATATGAAAAGATTTGTGGAAACAACTTATTTTGAAACTATCATACCAGTGGTGGAAAAACAGACTGCTGCAACCTGATTGGCAGAACGCGGGGACATCCGGGACTATCATTAGCAATGTGGCATGGTGGTGGAAAATGGCCTTTCATAAAAGTATGCATATTTTCAGCCTTCTCGCCATTAAATCGATTTAAGGAGGATATCGACGCCTTTGCAGCCTGAATTGAGAATGTTTAATGTACAAACCGGTCAACGGGGGATATGAGTGTATAGCTGACTGCATAACGTTACATTCCCATTTGGACGGTAAGATTAGACGACTCAGTACCGCCATCTGCATGCCTTTGGGCAACTGTGTTACTATGTGTAGGTACTCTTATGTATGTAGAGTTGTTCTTGCAAATAAAATACCTGACTTTTAACTACTAGATAGAAAATAACATTTCCCCCTCTAACAGTCCTATGTTTTAGCCATTATATTAGAATTTCCTTAAAGCAAAAGCGGAGTTTTTTCACTCAAGTGTGGACCGGAAGTTACAGCAAGCTAACGTTAGCTCGTTAGGCAGGGCAACTAACTCATTCGAAGTATTGCCAGATTGAAACATACGTTTGTAATTATATCAATCGGATCTAATGATAGTAGTTTTCTTTTAATTTTTATGGACTAAGTCTTTAGTCTAGCCATCTCTGGTCTAGCTAACTCGCTAAGGTCAAGCCACAAGAATATTTGGACAGGCCGAAGCGCGTGGCTAGCCGACTAGCATTGGGCTAATGTTAGCTAGCTTGTGGCGTCGAATTCTTTAGTTGACTCGACTGGGGGGATTTGTTCAAATGTGTACTCACCTGGACTCATCAGAAATATTTCTGATGAAAAGCGATGTATTTGGAGGTCTCAAATATCTGGCCATGCTAAAAATATTCAGCAAGAAAGTAGCTTTACAGCAAATATGTATGCTCTGTTTTGGCTTTACGTGCACCCAGAGATTGTGGCGCAGCTACGTGGAAGAAGGAATGCGCAGGCGCATGCTCTACTTCGCGGCATTGTAAGCAAGTGAAGGCACAAAAACAAAATCAGCGTCATCTGCTGTTTATGTTTTTGTATGCATATAACCAGGGAGTCATGCTGAGACCACGGTCTCTTTCGCAGATGAGCCCTGCACGAACACATCAATAAACACATTTGGTGGCGTAATCACAGCACGCTGAGGAAGCAGCAATATCCCTACTGTAGGTACTGACATCTCAGACAAAATATCTGGTAAAACACAAGTAGGTGGTTTTGTTACAGAGTAACATTATATAATCTCGGTGGGCTTTGTTGCCAGTCCAGCTAGGTAGGCTACCTCTTATTATAACATAAACTGCCTGTAATTATGACATCATCTTTTGGGTTAAAGGATGATCATATTCTAGAATTCCGATTCATTACTGCCTGCATTTGACCATTGCTACTCAATCCGTGCATTATCCTCAGATTTACAGTGCATTCGGAAAGTAGTCAGACCCCTTTACCTTTTCCACATTTTGTTACTTTACAGCCTCATTCAAAAATGGATTAAATTGTTTGTTTTTTACTTCATCAATCTACACACAATACCCCATCATGACAAAGCAAACACATTTTTTTTTAAATGTTGGCAAATTTATAAAAATGGAAATATTACATTTACATAAATATTCAGACCCTTTACTCAGTACTTTGTTAAAGCACCTTGGGCAGCGATTACTGCCTCGAGTCTTCTTGGGTATGACGCTACAAGCTTGGCACACCTGTATTTGGGGAGTTTCTCCCATTCTTCTCTGCAGATCTATAATAATATAATAATATGCCATTTAGCAGACGCTTTTATCCAAAGCGACTTACAGTCATGCGTGCATACATTTTTTTGTGTATGGGTGGTCCCGGGGATCGAACCCACTACCTTGGCGTTACAAGCGCGGTGCTCTACCAGCTGAGCGACAGATCTCTGTCAGGTTGGATGGGGAGCGTCGCTGCACAGCTATTTTCAGGTCTCTCAAGTGATGTTAGATCGGGTTCAAGTCCGGGCTCTGGCTGGGCCACTCAAGGACATTCAGAGACTTGTCCCGAAGCCACTCCTGCGTTGTCTTGGCTGTGTGCTTAGGGTCGTTGTGCTGTTGGAAGGTGAACCTTCGCCTCAGTCTGAGGTCCTGAGCGCTCTGTAGTAGGTTTTCATCAAGGATCTCTCTGTACTTTGCTCCGTTCATCTTTCCCTCGATCCTGACTAGTCTCCCAGTCCCTGCCACTGAAAAACATCCTCACAGCATGATGATGCCACCACCACGCTTCACCGTAGGGATGGTGTCTGGTTTCCTCCAGACGTGATGCTTCGCATTCAGGCCAAAGAGTTCAATCTTAGTTTCATCAGACCAGAGAATCTTGTTTCTCATGGTCTGAGAGTCCTTTAGGTGCCTTTTGGCAAACTCCAAGTGGGCTGTCATGTGCCTTTTACTGAGGAGTGGCTTCTGTCTGGCCACTCTACCATAAAGGCCTGATTGGTGGAGTGCTGCAGAGATGGTTGTCCTTCTGGAAGGTTCTCCCATCTCCACAGAGGAACTCTGGAGCTCTGTCAGAGTGACCATCGGGTTCTCAGTCACCTCCCTGACCAAGGCCCTTCTCCCCCGATTGCTCAGTTTGGCTGGGAGGCCAGCTCTAGGAAGAGTCTTGGTGGTTCCAAACTTCTTCCATTTAAGAATCATGGTGGCCACTGTGTTCTTGGGGACCTTCAATGCTGCAGAAATGTTTTGGTACCCTTCCCCCGATCTGTGCCTCAACACAATCCTGTCTTAGAGCTCTACGGACAATTCCTTCGACCTTGATTTTTGCTCTGACATGCACTGTCAACTGTGGGACCTTATGTAGACAGGTGTGTGCCTTTCCAAATCATGTCCAATCAATTGAATTTTCCACAGGTGGACTCCAATCAAGTTGTAGAAACATCTCAAGGATGATCAATGGAAACAGGATGCACCTGAGCTCAATTTTGAGTCTCATAGCAAAGGGTCTGAATACTTATGTAAATAAGGTATTTCTGTTTTTTATTTTTAAGAAATTAGCAAAAATTACTAAAAACCAGTTTTCAATTTGTCATTAGGGGGTATTGTGTGTAGATTGATGAGGGGAAAAAGTATTTTAATAAATGTTAGAATAAGGCTGTAACGTAACAAAATGTGGAAAAAGTCAAGGGGTCTGAATACTTTCCGAATGCACTGATTTAGTTTAAAATAAATTGTCTTGCTTTATCACTATCGATTGATCAAAAGCTCCAATCATGGATCAAAGAAGTCCATCGGAAAATGTAAAAGGTGGTTTGCTTCAGACCCCTTGTGAGGATCATGATCAATCCCTGGAGCTCCCACTTCTCACTTTATCTGTTTGGGGTCCATGGAGCTCCCACCTCTCCCTTTAGCATCTTGACCCTAGTCACTGGTGTCAAGATGCTCACAACAGACCCTAGCAAGTATCCCTGAGGAGTAGGCTCTGGAAGTCTGCCACCACATCAGCCTGCCTGTGCCTGTGGACACCCAACCAGAAGTGTGGGCTGAGCAGTGCATGCCAGCAAAGCCACTACACAACACAACACTAAACAATACATTCATTGTACTATAACGGTGACAAACGGTGCCCACAAACTGTTAGGGCCTACATAAAGCTGTCCCAACAGCAGTCCCAACACCTTACCACTGCTACACCTGGCTATTAGCTGAGCTTTGTCTGGCAGCGAAACAGTTCATTCAGACTCATTTACTGCCTTTAAAAAAACCATAGCTGATATGGCTGACTTGCTTAAACAAATGTGGTTTCTACTGACAATTGAGATGTACAAACTATGGCATAAGGGGACGACGAGCGGATAAGAGGCAATCCGTAATTTCCATGAAGACATTCATGAGCGAACTAGGACGAACGTAGTCAATATAACTATTTGTTCAGCACTTTTGAAATGTACAGCGACAGAATTCAGAACATGGGCTGTTCTTACAGGATTCTCCCTGAACACCAAGTCAGAACCGTAGGATAAATAAAGGGGGCATATAAGCAGACAATGAAAGCTCTTACAATATTCGATGATGACATTTCTCTAAAACAGGCTATAGGCTACATGTGCACCACCAAGTCAGAACAGTAGGCTAAGTTATGAGGAGAAAAGGGACAAAATTATTAGGGTGAGGCACATGGGCTACTAACAGCTTACTACACAACATACACTTAGTATTACTTTCTTAGCTACAGTATACATATCTTCCTGGCATATTACATAATTTATGCAGCAGCATACAATACCTTTTTTGACTCACCTTGTTGTGCTGACTTGAACAGGAAGGTGGCGCGGCAGTCCTTCGTGGGCAAATTTTGTCATCAAACTTTGTCATCAAAGTCTGGCGTTCTCTGAATTGATGGTGCTTTCACGACAACTGTGAACTCGGAAAAAAACAAGGTTGAATCATGACGTCAGTGATCTTCAGGTCGGAGCTCTAGAAAGAGGCCAGAGTTCCCAACTTCGAATTCCGAGTTGCTTGACCGTTCAAATCTTATTTTCCCAGTCGGAGCTAGTTTTTTTTCTGAGTTTTCCAAGTTCCGAGTTTCCAGTGGTTTTGAATGCAGCAGAAGTCATGCTGTATTGACAGCATGGCCAATGTTGAATTATTATCATTTTAAGCTTGGAAGACTTGGACCACACACCCACTCCACTGAATAGCAGGCTAGTGATTGCTTTACAATGCTTGCAGTTAGCCACTGATTCCTTCCAAATCACTCATTGTTGAATTTGCGATTTTCAACTTGTTGTGTAATGTTTATGACCGATGAGCACAGATACGTTTTATCTATAATTTCTCTTCATAATTTCTCTTCAAACAACAAAGATTGAAAAGGATTTGCCAGTAGATTGTCAACTTGATTCATGATGATGACTGCTAGCTTGCTAGCTAAGATTTTGATCAGTCCAATCAAATCTACGGTAGATATAATGTGATTTGACGTCATTTTGTCTGTGGCCAATGACCTTGAGCATTCCTGGATGGGCATTTCTAATATAACTCTATAGCAGCACCCAAGGGGCTTGAATTTTCGAGCTCTCCACGTAGAATTTGCGATGACGTAGTGTCCCCATGAGTGACAGAACTCTGAGCCAATCACGGCGCAACTAGAGAACATTACCAACCCCTACGCTCTGTATTTGCCGCTGGCTGCCCCACCACCACCACCACCACCACCACCACCACCACAGAAAGCACTGTGCTAGGCTGAAACACCTGCATTTTGGAGCTGCCTTACTCAAGAAAAAAAAAAAGAGACCATGTTTGTATGCGGCTTTATTAACTCAATGTTTAAAAATATATATATATTGTTTGCAAACTGATATGTAACACGTATTAATGCCAAAATAACATGCAAAACAGCCTACACACAAATAAAATATATACATACAGTACCAGTCAAAAGTTTGGACACACCTACTCATTCAAGGTTTTTTCTTTGTACTATTCTCTACAGTGACCAATGTGACCATCCATCTCCTGCAGTTTAATCAAAGTGACTCGGCCCAGAAAGCATCTCCTGCAGTTTAATCAAAGTGACTCGGGCCAGAAAGCATCTCCTGCAGTTTAATCAAAGTGACTCGGGCCAGAAAGCATCTCCTGCAGTTTAATCAAAGTGACTCGGGCCAGAAAGCATCTCCTGCAGTTAAATCAAAGTGACTCGGGCCAGAAAGCATCTCCTGCAGTTTAATCAAAGTGACTCGGCCCAGAAAGCATCTCCTGCAGTTTAATCAAAGTGACTCGGGCCAGAAAGCATCTCCTGCAGTTTAATCAAAGTGACTCGGCCCAGAAAGCATCTCCTGCAGTTTAATCAAAGTGACTCGGGCCAGAAAGCATCTCCTGCAGTTTAATCAAAGTGACTCGGGCCAGAAAGCATCTCCTGCAGTTTAATCAAAGTGACTCGGCCCAGAAAGCATCTCCTGCAGTTTAATCAAAGTGACTCGGGCCAGAAAGC